ATTCCGAAGAAATTAATTCATCAAGATGCAACTTATCTCACTAAACGTTTGGATTTAATTTACGAGGGAATTAATATCGTTAACTGAATTTAATTAATTCCCGCAACAATTAACTTCTATAACCTGTTGAAAATTGAAATTAATTTAATAAAAATTTAATTAATTAAAGTTTTTTTTTTTTAAATTTAATTAATTTAATTTTTTTAACTAAATTTGTCAAATTCTAATTTCAGGGTTGCCACAGGTCAGGGAATTCAGGAAAAAGTCAGGGAAATTAGAATTGATTGGGGAATTCAGGAAAAAGTCAGGGAAATTAGAATTGGTTGGGGAATTCAGGAAAAAGTCAGGGAATTTTATTAAAAGTACTGTAAAAAATTAAATTTTTAGAATTTATAAGAAAATTCAGAATTTTTGAGTCTTTTTTGTTTGCCTCATAAACTATGAAATTGACAAGAATTATAATACGAAACCTTTAAGCTTTTCTACTTCTATGACAATAATTCCTTTTTCAATAACTTAATTAAATATTAAATAACTTAATTCTTGAAGAATTATCATAAAATTATTATTTTTAAAATATTTAAAGAATAATTTTACTTGAAAATTTCGAAATTAATTGAATTTCGAAAAGAGTTGCGTTAACAATCTTCATATAAATTAGATGAACCTACAAAGGTTTCAATTTGAAATTTTAAGAACATAATTCCAGAAATTTAATTATTTTCAAAAGTGATAAACTTCTTCGCATAAATACAATTAAGGTTCAAAATTTTTTTAAAAATTCTCGTTAAAATTTCAATTATCTTTATAAATAATAAAATTCTTCTCTGAAATTCAATTATTTTCGTAAAAAATTTAATAAAATTCTTTGGCAAAATTTCAACTATTTTCAAAAATTTTTCTCATTTCAATTATTTTTAATATCTACTATTTTAATATAATTTTCCAAAAGAATTCAATTATTTAAACAAAATTTTAATAACAGTTTCACAGGAATTCAATTGTTTACCAATTTTTTTTTTTTATAAATTTCTTCAAACCAAGTCAATTATTTTTAATTTTCTAATGAAGTTTCTCGAAAGAATTCAAATATATATTCAGAGAATTGAAAAAAAATAGTTCTGAGAAATTCAATAATTTCGAAAAATTTAAATAAAATTCTTTTAAAAATTCTATTTTTTAAAAAATGTTAACAAAATTCTTGACAAGATTTAGTTAATAAAATTGCGATTTTAATAAAATTTTCCTATACAATTCAATTATTTTTAATACAATTCTTCTTAAGAATTTAATTATTTAAAGAAATTGGAATAAAGTTCTTCACAAGAAATCAATTATTTTCAAAAAAAATAAAATTGTTCTCGGGAATTCAATTATTTAAAAAAAGTTTTGATAAATTGTTTTATAAAAATTTGAATAATTATAATAAAATTGATCGTAGAATACAATTATTTGCGTAAAATGTTTGTAAAAATCTTCGAAACAATTCAATTATTTTCGTAAAAAATAAATTTTTTCGAAGCAAATCAATTACTTAAGAAATTTTAAAAAAATTCTCCCCAAGAATTCAATTCTTTTCAAAAATAAACATTTTCGAAGGAATTCAATTATTTATTTCAATTATTTATTATTCAATTATTTTCAATTCTTTGTCAGATTTCAATTATTTTCAATTTTTTAATGAAATTTCTCAAAATGGAATTTAATTATTTTCAAAAAGTTTTAAAAAATTCTGAGAAATTCAATTATTTAAAAAAATTTTGAACAAAATTCTTACCAAGAATTCAATTCTTTTCAAAAATAAACATTTTCAAAGGAATTCAATTATTTAAAAAACTTTTTTTTTAATTCTTCGTCAAATTTCAATTATTTTCAATTTTTTAATGAAATTTCTCAACGGAATTTAATTATTTTCAAAAATTATTTTAAAATTCTGAGAAATTCAATTGTTTAAAAAAATTTTGAACAAAATTCTTCTTAAGAATTCAATTCTTTTCAAAAATAAACATTTTCAAAGGAATTCAATTATTTATAAAACTTTTTTTTTAATTCTTCGTCAGATTTCAATTATTTTCAATTTTTTAATGAAATTTCTCAATGGAATTTAATTAGTTTCAAAAAGTTTTAAAAAATTCTGAGAAATTCAATTATTTTAAAAACTTTTGAACAAAATTCTTCTTAAGAATTCAATTCTTTTCAAAAATAAACATTTTCAAAGGAATTCAATTATTTAAAAAACTTTTTTTTTAATTCTTTTTCAGATTTCAATTATTTTCAATTTTTTAATGAAATTTCTCAATGGAATTTAAATATTTTCAAAAATTATTTTAAAATTCTGAGAAATTCAAATGTTATAAAAAATTTTGAACAAAATTCTTCCCAAGAATTGAATTCTTTTTAAAAATAAACATTTTCAAAGGAATTCAATTATTTATAAAACTTTTTTTTTAATTCTTCGTCAGATTTCAATTATTTTCAATTTTTTAATGAAATTTCTCAATGGAATTTAAATATTTTCAAAAATTATTTTAAAATTCTGAGAAATTCAATTGTTATAAAAAATTTTGAACAAAATCCTTTCCAAGAATTCAATTCTTTTCAAAAATAAACATTTTCAAAGGAATTCAATTATTTATAAAAAAACTTTTTTTTTAATTCTTCGTCAGATTTCAATTATTTTCAATTTTTTAATGAAATTTCTCAATGGAATTTAATTATTTTCAAAAAGTTTTAGAAAATTCTAAGAAATTCAATTATTTTAAAAAATTTTGAACAAAATTCTTCTTAAGAATTCAATTCTTTTCAAAAATAAACATTTTCAAAGGAATTCAATTATTTATAAAACTTTTTTTTTAATTCTTCGTCAGATTTCAATTATTTTCAATTTTTTAATGAAATTTCTCAATGGAATTTAATTAGTTTCAAAAAGTTTTAAAAAATTCTGAGAAATTCAATTATTTAAAAAAATTTTGAACAAAATTCTTCTTAAGAATTCAATTCTTTTCAAAAATAAACATTTTCAAAGGAATTCAATTATTTAAAAAACTTTTTTTTTAATTCTTCGTCAGATTTCAATTATTTTCAATTTTTTAATGAAATTTCTCAATGGAATTTAATTATTTTCAAAAATTATTTTAAAATTCTGAGAAATTCAATTGTCTAAAAAAAATTTGAATAAAATTCTTCACAAGAAATTAATTATTTTCATAAATAATAATTTTTTTCTCGAGAATTCAATTATTCAAAAATATTTTGATAAATTGTTTTATAAAAATTTTAAAAATTATATAATAAAATTGATCATAGAATACAATTATTTTCGTAAAATATAACATTCTTCGTAGGAATACAATTATTTTAAAAAATGTTTATAAAATTCTTCAAAACAATTCAATTATTTTCGTAAAAAATAAATTTCTTTGAAGCAAATCAATTACTTAAGAAATTTTAATAAAATTCTTCCCAAGAATTCAATTCTCTTCAAAAATAGACATTTTCAAAAGAATTCAATTATTTAAAAAAGTTTTTTTTTATTTTTCGTAATATTTCAATTATTTTCAATTTTTTAATGAAATTTCTCAATGGAATTTAATTATTTTCAAAAAGTTTTAAAAAATTCTAAAAAATTCAATTATTTTCAAAAATTTTGAACAAAATTCTTCCCAAGAATTCAATTCTTTTCATAAATAATAATTTTTTTCTCCAGAATTGAATTATTTTTACAAATAAATGTTTTCATATATGAATTCAATTCTTTAAAAAAAGTTTTTAATAAAATTTGTCGCAAGAATTCAATTATTTTCTCATCTTAAATTTATTATAAAAAAACATGAAGAAATCGATTGCTCCGTGTCGAAGACTCGAAGTGATCGCTTTCTTAATGTTTTATAACAATTTTTTTTTATAATTGTTTAATTTCAAAAATGTTTGAATTTGAATCTTTTGAAGAATTTTATTTCCTATATGGAAAAATAATAATATTAAATATTTATTTTAAAAAGAAGTTATTAATGTTTTCGAATAATTTTACTTTTAAAGAAATTTGTAAATAAATGTCATAGAATTTATTTTTTTTTTTGTGTATCTAATAATTTTTGGAGTAAATCATATAGAATATTTTTCAGGGTCGCAGGGAAAAAGTGAAAATTTTCTCTGTAAATCTGTAAATCGTAAATTTTTGTCTGTAAAGTGGGGGAAAATCAAAATTAAATTTTTGTTGCATCTCTGAATTTGGAATCAAGAGTTCTCTTCAGGTATACCAGAATAATGTTTCAAGGATTTTTTTTATAAAGTCCTTTAAATTCCTCTAACCATTAATTCACGAATTCTATACTTTCAGCGCCGGGATTTTATAGTAAATGACTGTGCGGTAGTGTTGCTCCATTTCGTTTTGTACCAAATAGGAATTATTTTTTTTTACAACTACCATTATTGCTCTGAGTACCCAAGTCACTCTTGTGATCTGAGCTCTCGTCAAGAAATAAAGAGTTTGCGACGTAACGTTAAGATGTAACGACTTTCAGCTATTTTGTCGAATAGATCCCGAGGAATGACTCTCTTTATCCGTAAAAACGAAATGAAGGAATGTAACAGTAAAACAGTCGAATATTTCTATATTAGACCCCAAAAAAAAAAGAGAATGAATCTCGAAACTAATGGTACTCTAAACCTAACAATTAAACATTTGGAAATTTTCGTTCGAAGAAAATAGAAAAATAATAATTAAATACCAGATTGAATATTTGAATGTTCAAATTCTATAATTTCAGAAAATTAGATTCAAACATATTTACTTTTTTTTCACCTAAAGATAAATTCATTTCAAGGTTTATTTCAACAGTTATCAACGAACTATAAAATGCACGTGTACATTTTCTTTCTCTTTGCATTATCAAGTAATGTTCATTCGTCCAATTGACAAAATACACCAGCAGTTCTCTTACTGGCTTGGAGACAATAAATTCTGCGATAATTTTAGTGAATTTTTTAAAAATGCAGAAGCATTCGAAATAAAAAATTATTCATACGTGGCGCCTTGAAGTATCCTAAACCTACTGCATCAAAGTTCCTAAAAAGTAAACTTTCAAAAAGTGAAGAGAAAATGATTTACGTCTATATTTTACTTTGTGCACTCATTGCACAATTCGCCTACACCAATCAGGTAATTGGAATTTATAATCATAATTTTGCCAAATTATAATCAAACATGTAGTGGTAGCATATTTCGTGAATAAGAAAAATTAAAAATCATTAAAACAGTACATGAAGATATTTTATGCGTATAAGTTAAAATCATTAAAATCATTAAAACAGTATACAAGAACACATTTTACGCGTTAATGATTTTAATAAGTAGGAATAATTTCATGAATACAAAAGTAAATTAATTTTTTTCTCTTTTCTAGTTCAAATCATCTGCTGAACGATGTCAGGAAATGGAAATGGAATTCAATCATGATGTTAGTATTTGACAATAATAATTAATTAATATTTGACAAATATATATTAGCAATTTTGTGAAACCAATTTGACTTTCTTCTTTAATTTATATTCATTTTATTTTTCCAGTATGTTTACGGATGTCTGTTTACTTGTACAAGAAAAAGGAATGTTCCTGAAGGACAAGGCAATGGAACTTTGAAAAATGATGATTATGGTGATACGGGTATTTACCTTGCTGAAAATGGTTCACCTTGCGGTACTACTGGAGTAAGAATCAGTTTTTAACTATTATTCCTTTTTTTTTGTTTGCTAAATTTTTTTGAAACGGACTAATGTTTCCTTTCCTTTAGTACTGCAATGAAGGATTCTGCCTAAATGTCACGTCTTCAAGCACTAGTGCCAGCGACACTATCGAGACTTCTACTCTGGATACTGATACAGCTACTACAAGAGATTGAATTTAAAATCATTTAAACAAAATGTATCATTTGATTATAAAAAGTTAATTGTTTCAAAAATTTTTACAAAATTTAAACCAAATGTATCATTAATATGATTATAAAAAGTTAATTGTTTCAAAAATTTAAATTTTTGAAACTGACTAATGTATACGTTTATGATTCAATAAATACTGATTTAATGGAATTTTGATGCTCTATTCTTTATTTTGTTTTGCAAACCAAAACCATGAATAACTCCTGTCCTGTTTTTTTTAAATTCTCCTAAACAGATTATTTTTTTAATCATTTCTTCACGTACAGATAAATTTATTCCAAGGTTTATTTCAAACAGTTATCAAATTGCTGTAAATTTTTAATGCACTCTTGTAATTTTTTTCTATCTTTAAATATCATCTAATGTTCTTTCTGCCAACTAGAACGATACACCTGCAACATTCCTAATGGCTTGGAACCAATAAATTCTGCGATAATTTTAATAAACCTTGTATACTTTTAAACAATACAGAAGCATTTGAAGTAAAAACTTATATTCATATAGCTTAAAATCTTTTCAAACAGTATAAACTTTAAAAAAAATTGAACAGAAAATGATTTACGCCTATATTTCACTTTGTGCACTCATTGCACAATTCACCACTACGAATCAGGTAATTTTTTCGTAATTATAGTAATTTGAATGTTCTTTCATTCTTTCATTCACTTTTTCTGTCCCTCACACTCTGAAGTTGTCGTTTGTTTATACTTTTGCTTTTTCTTAACTTTAGATAGAAAATATGTTAACTTTAGATAGAAAATAAAAATCATCAGAATTTTTTTTACTTCTAAGAGACAAAAATTTTGTTAAATATTATGTTTTGTCAAATTGAAATTATTTTTGTTCTTTACTTTTAAAAAATAGAAAATTATTAAACAACTGTGATTAAGAAATAGAAAATTTATTTATTTTCCATTATTTTCTTTTTGAATCACAATTTTTTTAAGAAAATTATTATTTTGTTTTAGAAAAAGAAGAAAAATATTTGCACAATTTATATTTTTAATCTTATCTTTGGAACAGGATTTTCCACAGGAATTAAGACATTCAAAAATTCAAAATTCAAACCTTTTTTAAATTAAACAATTCTTATAAAAGTATTTTTATAAAACATGAAGATAGAGATTGCTCCGAGTCGAAGACTCGGAGTGATCGATTTCTTCATGTTTTCTAATAAATTAAAGATGACCGAGAGATAAAATCATTATTTTACATTATAAGAATATTGTTACTGTAACTTTATCAAAATTATTTTCATCATTTTAATTCAATTATTATTTTCTAGAATTTTAAATTATTTTTTATGAAAATAATAATTGAATTTCTTAAAAAATTTTATTATTTTTGGAAAATAATTGAATTCCTTAAAAAATTTTATTATTTATGGAAAATAATTGAATTCCTTAAAAAATTTTATTATTTATGGAAAATAATTGAATTCCTTGTGAAATTTTAATTATTTTATGAATATAATATTAAATGTTTGCGCAGAATTTCAATAAAATTTTTTATAAATTTGAATTCTTTGGAAAAATTTTAGTAGATATTTATATAAAAATCGTTGAATTGAGGAAAATTTTTGAAAATAATTGAAATTTTTGCCGTGAATTTTTTCAAAAATTTTTTTAAATAATTGAATTGATTCGAAGAATTTTATCAAACTTTTTTAAAATAATTGAATTTTTGCAACGAATTTTATTAAAATTTTCCAAAATAATTGAATTCTTAATAAAGAACTTTTATTAACTTTTTTTTTGTTAAATAATTGAATTATTGCGAAAAAATTTATAAAACATTTGCAAATGATTGAATTTTTGCAAAGAATTTTATCAAAAAATTTGATAATAATTGAATTTCTTCGAAGAATTTTATTGTTTATGAAAACAAGTGTATTATTGCGAAAAAAAATTGCAAATCATTGAATTCTTGCAAAGAATTTTATTGTTTATGAAAATAATTGAATTTAGGAAGAATTTTATTGTTTATGAAAATAATTGAATTTCTTCGAAGAATTTTATTGTTTATGAAAATAATTGAATTTAGGAAGAATTTTATTAAAAATTTTTGTAAAATAATTGAATTTTTTTTGAAAAATTTCTTTAATTTTTTTAATAGAATCGAATTTTTTAATAATTGTACTGAAAATAATTGAATACCTGAGAAGAATTTTATTATTTATGAAAAATACTTTAATTCTTGCGATGAATTTTAATAAATATATTTCTTTTTAAATAATTTGAATTCTTTTGTGAATTTTTATTGAAATAGTAGATATTAAAAATAATTGAATTTTGATATTATTGAAATTAATTTAATTCTACGAAGAATTTAATTTAAATTATTTTGAAAAAAAATTGAATAATTGTTAAAAATTATTTCATTAAAATCTTTGAAAATTAATTTTAATAAAAATTTTAAGAATTTTAAGAATTACATTTTTCGAGAAATTCCATTAACATTGTACCAAAAATAATTGAAATTCTGCGATGATTTTTATTATTTATGAAAATAATTGAAAACCTACGTATAGAATTTTATTATATTTATGAAAATAATTGAATTCCTAGTTAAAAAAAAATGTTATTCTTCATGAAAATAATTGAATTATTGCGAAGAAATTTATAAAAAATTTGTAAATAATAGAATTCCTCTGAAATTTTTATTATTTAATTGTTAATTCATTCATTCAAAATTGTCATTTTCTAAAATTTCAAATTAAAATTTTTTTTTAAATAATTGAATTCGTTTTGGGAAATATATTTTATTAAAATCGTAGATATTGAAAATCATTAAAATTAGAAAAATTTCTGAAAATAATTGAATACTTTGGAGAAGAATTTTGTTATTTATAATGATAATTGAGATTTTCACGAGAATTTTTTTCAAGATTTGAACATAGTTGAATTTAATAAGAATAATTTTATTTTTTTTTAAATTTTTGCAATTATTTTTAAATTCTACGAAATTGAATTTTTTTTAGTATTTCCAACAAAAATTTAAATTAGAAAATTTTCAAATTTTATTATTAATAATATTTTATTTTTTAATATTTATTTATTTATTTATTTTATTTTTTTTTAATATTTTATTATTAATTTTATTATTTTATTATTTTTATTTTATTTTATTGCTAATTTTATTTAAAAAAAAAGGTAGTAAGAAGTTAGCCGCGCGATTTGTTGCTAGTTTATAATTATAGTTTGACAATATTAAACAGCAGATGAACAGATTTTATGCGTTAATGATTTTAATAAGTAGGAATAATTTCATAAATACATATAAAGTATTTTATATTTATATTTTATATTTTTCCTCCTTTCTAGTTTAAATCATCTTCTGAACGATGTCTGGAAATGGGAAAGGAATTCACTCATGTTGTCAGTGTTTGATTTTTAGAAACCATTTTAGAATTTTTAGAAACCATTTTGATTTTCTTCACATGCTTTCTTAATTGATATTTATCGTTTTCAGTATGTTTACGGATGCCTTTTTACTTGTACAAGAGAAAAGGATGTTCCTGAAGGAAATGGCAGTGGAACTTCAAAAAATAGTGATGATTATAGCGATAGGAGTATTTACTTTACTGAAAATGGTTCGCCTTGCACTTATACTGGAGTAAGAATAAGTTTTTAAATCATTCTGTTTTTTGATGATAAATTTTACATAACGCCTCCTTTTCTTTAGTACTGTCAAGAAGGATTCTGCCTAAATGACACGTCTTCAAGCACTAGTGCCAGCGACACTATCGAGACTACTACTATGAACACTTATACAAACACTACAAAGGTTTAAAATTGAATAGAATATAGAAGTAATTTTTTCAAAAAGATATAAAACTTTAGTTTATTTTCTCTCTTTTTATACTAGTTAAAATCAGCTTCTGAACGATGTCAGAAAATGGGAATGGAATTCACTGACGATGTGAGTATTTGACGCAAATGTAATTTTTTTTAAATGCGAACCCAAATAACAGCGAAACTTTACTAAAAGGTTAAAATTACCTTGACTGCAATGTTCGAAATCTTTAGTTAGGCTCTTTAGAGTTAAAGTAATTCTTTAAATTTCGACTGTTTTTCAATGATTGTATAGGACACTTTTCCCAAACATTTTTTTTTTTCACAAAATAAACTATTCCCATATGGACAGTATTCTCAAAAAAAATTGTTTGACGCGAAACAATCATTTTTGACGTCAAAACAAATGTTTGACGCGAAAGTTGACTGAACATTGCGTGAAAGTTTAAAATTTCTTCAACTCTCAAATATGGTCGCAGTTCAACTTTTACATCAAACATTAGAATAACATCGGGCATTTAAAGAACAACTTCAAGTTTCATGATTTTCGTGACTTTCATGAGCTTCGCAACGTTCACAACTAAAGATTCCGAAAGGTTGCAGAGACAAGTTAATTTTTCAACTTTCAGAAAATTTTCTGTGCTTTGTTGGAATATTGCCTTTCTTCACATATATGCTTTCTTAATTTATATTTATTTTCTAACTTTTCTAGACTATCCATGAATGCACTTTTACTTGTACAAGAAAAAAGGATGTTCCTGAAGGAAAAGGCAGTGGAACTTTGGAAAATATTAATGATTATGGTGATACGGATATTTACTTTGCTGAAAATGGTTTGCCTTGCACTAGTACTGGAGTAAGAATCAGTTTTTAAATTCCTCTTTTTTGATGATAAATTTTACATTATAATGTTTGTTTTCCTTTAGTACTGCAATGAAGGATTCTGCCTAAATCTTACGACTTTAAGCATTGCCTGACAAACACTAGTGCTAGCAACACTATTGCTTATACTATAAATACTAATACAACTACTAAAAAAATTTGAAATTGAATTTAAAAAAAATGTTTCACTAATATGATTATAAAAAGTTGGTACATTTTTGAAACGGACTTTACGGACTAATGTATATACGTTTATCATTCAATAAATGCTGTTTTACTGAAATTTTGATGATTTATTCTTTATTTCCTGTAGCTATAACAAAACCGCATAATTAATTAATTTCTGAACCATGAAAAAATTAAAAATAAAAAAATAAAAAAAAAAATTGTTAATTTGCGGAAACTCTGTTAGTGTATGAAATTACATTGTTTTTTGTATTTTTTTTAATATTGTAAGATAATAACTTATTTTTTAACCAATTTTTTTTTTTTGCATAAAGACAAATTCGTTCCAAGGTTTATGACAACAGTTATCAAACTACTATAAATTTTTAATGCACTTGTTAGTTTTTTTTATCTTTAAACTAATCAAGTAAAACTGACAAGAAACACCTGCAGCATTTCTATAAAAAAACAATAAATTCTCTGACAATTTAAAAAAAATATATTTTTTTAAAAACATACTCTTAAACCTGCATCAGCATTAAGCGAGGCATTAAGTTTTTCAAAAAATAAACTAATATAGTGAACAGAAAATGACTTACGTTTGCATTTTACTTTGTGTATTCGTTGCACAATTCACCGATACAAATCAGGTAATTTTTTCGTAATTTATAATTTTAATTTGACAATATTATAAAATCGTAATCGCAGTTCTAAACTGAATATAGTTCTTCCATATGGTTCCAAAGAAATAAAAATACATTTCTTTTAAGTTCTAAAAATATTTTCCTAATAATAAAATCAATGTATTAATTGATAAAATTTGAATTTCGAGTTTTTCTTCTTTCTAGTTAAAATCATTTGCTGAACAATGTAAGGACATAGGAATGGTATTCTCTTATGATGTTAGTATTAGAAGACAAAATATATATTTCAATTTTTGTACCGATTTTATTATTTCTTCGCACATGCTTTATTAAAATTTATTTTTATTTTTTAACTTTCATAGTCTAACGACGGATGCAAAATTAACTGTAAAACAGAAAAAGTTCACGGTATAAATGTCAGTAAAATTTTTAAGGAATTGATTATTGAAGATGGATCGCCTTGCGGCAGAAATGGAGTAAGAATAATTTTTATATATTACATGTTATTTTTTAGTCTCGAAGTGAAAATCAGTTTTGCAATATGTAAAATTTTAAATAAATTTTAATAAGTTTAATTTTTTTTAATAATTTAAATATAAGTTTCACTTCTCATTTTCTTTCTATCAGAACTGCACAAATGGATTATGTCATAAGAGTAAAAAATTCGACAGTTATAATTTCGACAGTAATAAAGTAAGTACAATTTTATATATATATATATATATATATATATATATATATATATATATATTATCGTAGAATTTTTACTTATGAATTTTTTTTCTTTTCAGTTGTGTAATGGTGAATTATGTTACAATGAAACGAAAAAATCCAACAGTATGAAAAATATTTTTTCATTTTTTAAAAATATTTGGAAATCTATAATAGATTTTATACTAATGTGTCTAAAAAAAGTGTCGCTTTTTTAAAAAAAAAATGTTTTAATGATAAGTTTCATTGGCTTTTTCTCTTTATAAATGTTTGTTTTATGAATCATCTCCATGCAATAAAACATGTTTTATCAACACGTTAATGAAAATCATTAATGAAAGAAATGTTAAAAATTAAAAATGTCGAATTTAAAAATTATGAATTTAAATAAAACTGCATAAAAATGTTCACTCCGTGGATTTTTTTAATAATGATGATTACGAAATAGAAACAAGCAACTGAAATTTTATAAAATTTAATTGAAAATAGTTTTTTTTTTTAAGTATTTTATTCCAATTTTTGAAGAATTTTAACTGCAAATTAAAATACTTCTCGAAAATTTTAATGCAAAATCTATAAGTGTTGGATTTTAAAATGCAAATTAATGAAAATTTTCTTCCAAACATTATATTAAAATATTTAAAAAAAAAAAGAATTTCTTAGAATTTTTTCATTTTAATTTTAAAAAATTTTAAATATTTCCATATTTTCAGTTATACATATTTCAAAAAAATTCAAATACACACAAAAAATATTAACATTAAAATTGATTAAAGTTTTTTAGAATTATTTTTAACATTTTCTTACCAGAATTCAATTATTTTCAACAATTTTTAAAAAAAAAACTCGTCAACTTTTCAATTATCTTTTATAAATAGCAAAATTCTTCTTGGAAATTCAATTATTTTCAAAAATCCTCTATATTATATTAAGTTAATGTACGACCGACCGACCGACCGACCGACCGACTCACACCTCTTTCTATCCTGTCTAACTATCTTTGAAAATACTTCACTCACACATGTCCAAAAAACACATACCCATGAATGTTACACATATACACAAAACACATACATGTCATGTCACGCATGCGCAGTAGTATTCCATGAATGTCACGCATGCGCAGTAGTGTTCTATCAATGTCACGCATGCGCAGTAGGGTTCTATCAATATTACGCATGCGCAGTAATGTTCTATCAATGTTACACATGCGCAGTAGTGTTATATCAATGTCAAGTATGCGCAGTAGTTTTCTATCAATGTCACGTATGCGCAGTAGTGTTCGATCAATGTCAGGCATGCGAAGTAGTGTTCTATCAATGTTACGCATGCGCAGTAGTGTTATATCAATGTCACGTATGCGCAGTAGTTTTCTATCAATGTCACGCATGCGCAGTAGTGTTCTATCAATGTCAGGCATGCGAAGTAGTGTTCTATCAATGTTACGCATGCGCAGTAGTGTTCTATGAATATCAGACATGCGCAGTAGTTTTCTATCAATGTCACGCATGCGCAATAGTGTTCTATGAATGTCAGGCATGCGCAGTAGTGTTCTATGAATATCAGGCATGCGCAGTAGTGTTCTATCAATGTCAGGAATGCGCAGCAGTGTTCTATGAATATCAGGCATGTGCAGTAGTGTTCTATGAATATCAAGCATGCGCGCAATTCACCCACACATGTATACTCAACATATACACTAATCACATGTACATGTATACTCACACATGTACATAAATTATATACACATGTATACTGACTCATGTGCAGATATAAACTGCTACATATACACAAATCACATATATAGATTTAATAAACGATTGATAATATAAATTGCTGAATTTTTTAAGATTCGTTGATGCACGTAGTGTCTGTTGAAATTTTTTTAAATATACGTAAGTACCTCACTCGCTAATGCTGCGCTGTCTGTGTTGTAAGGGAAATTATTTATTTACTTGTGTATTTACTTATTCCCAAGTGCGAAATTAAAAACGGCCCAAAACTGGCCCAGTGACGGCATAGTCAGTGCCTACTCTTGGCAGACAATAGTGGCCCGACTGTCGGGAGGTTAACCGCGGTAGGCCGTCGGCAGCCAATCATCGGCCGATTCTCGGTAAACATTAATGGCCCATTATTGGCTGCCATTACTCCCCAGTGTTGAAAAAATTTTAAAAAAATATATTTTTTATTTAATTAACTAATTAATTCATAATATTTATACAGTTTATTTCCCTGAATTAATCGCAAACTTACAAATATTTGAAAAATTCTTACCGCTCGCGGGGATCGATACCTGAACCTGACGCACCAAAGCCTAACACTCTGACCACTCTGCTACTCTGACGTGAAGTCGAGGAAGCAAAAGGGTTCTTATAAGCTATACTACACTGGCCGATACTGTGCCATTATTGGGCCGAGCTACGTCCCAATATTGGCAATTATAATTTACCATCATAGATACAAAATGATAGACATTAATATGGCATTCCTGAGCCAAGGTACGTCCCAATTCTGGCAATTATAATTTGCCACAAAATGTTTTCCATTAAAGTGCCACTAATGTGCCATTAATAGGCCGATCTTCGTCACATCACTGGCAATTGAATATTGCCATTAAAGATTGATCAACTTTGCCATGAATGTGCCATTATTGAGCCAAGCTACGCCCCAATACTGGTAATCATAATTTGCCATCAAAGATACAAAATTTTTGCCATTAAAGTGCCATTAATGGGCCGATGGTCGGCACATCACTGGCAATTGCTTTTTGCCATTAAAGATTGATCAACTTTGCCATGAATGTGCCACTATTAGGCCGAGAGCTGGCCCAGTCTTAAAAAATTTGAAAATCTGACCATCGGCGCCATCATTGGCCCATCAATGGGACGTTTTGAACACCAGTAATGGCCCAGTAACTACTGCCAATTCTCGGCAGACATTACTAGACCAATTATGGGCCGTTTTTGCAGTCTTGGCATTTCGCACTTAAGTTTGTTTGTTTGACAGAAATCAACAATAACTTTTTAAATGGATTATCAGTGAAAAATGACTTATATATCTGTAAGTGTAATTTTCAACTGACTTTTAGTAAAATTATTTGTTTGACAGAAATTTACAATAATAAATAAATCACAATACAATAACAATCAGTGAAGAATGACTGATATTTTAGTACTTTTCAACTGATTTTCAGTAAAATTCCACTGATTATGAATCCAAAGTCACTTTTTAAAAATACAAAATGGCGAATCCAGGATAGCGGACGAAAATGAAAGATTTAGTAAGAGAATACGTAAAAATAACATTTCGTATAATGTACAATGACAATTTTTTAAAATGTCACTTCATAATAATTTTTGTCTTATTACACAATGATTTTAAGTAAAATAATTTATATTTTTATAAATATTAATAATTTTTTACATTTTCTAACCACTATAAGGTTTTAATCTTGTAAATGTTCAAGCTCTAGTTTAGAAAGAAAAATTTATATTATTATATAACAATATTGTCTAGACTTGCAAAAACCCAAAGTCTAGACAAATTTGTCGTAACAATATTGTTACAATATATATTGTAACAATATTGGTGACGGTGACGTGCGTAAGAATAATGCAGTAAAAATTTCAAAAAAACATTTCTCAAAAAAATTAATAAAATAGCATTTTTATATAGTTTACGAGATAAAAATTCCTGAAAAAAAAGTGTTGAAATTATTTGATTGAAGAGCGTTCACAAATGATGTCACGCAATTTTTCGGGATTTTATAACCCCCCCCCCCTCCCCCTGTCAAACAAATTTCATGCAATTTCACATGTAAAAATACATTGTGTCACGTTTAGTAGAGACCCTCCACCCTCCCCCAAAAAACGTGACATCATTTATGAACGCACCCTTGCAAATATCTTGCAAAATATTAAAAATTTTGTAAAACTTTTTGGCACACTTATTTAGGACCCTAAACACTATCAAATTACAAAGTACCCAAGTATCACGGAATATAACCTTAAATTTAAGGGAATATTGCATTTCATATTCGGAATATTCCAGTGGAACGTTCCAGAGATCTTAAACCCCAGTAGCACGTAATATTGGGAACATTCCAGCAATATGCCACGACATTGAGGCAATATTGGTAATGTTAAGGCAATGTTCTCAATATCGCTGTAATATTACGTGCTACTGGGAAAGTAATATTAAAATGTCCGCTGCACAGGAATATTCCAAGATATAAACATTTAGGGAATGTTCCACGATTATATCGAAGTAATATTCCAGGATGATGTTGAAGGAATGTTCCACCGTAATATTAATGGAATATTCCAGGGTGATGTTGAGGGAATGTTCCTAGATAATATTAAATATGTTGAAAATACCATTGAAAATCGTTTTTACTAAAGAAAGAAGATAAAGAGAAAAAAAGTCAAATTTTTTCAAAGTATGAAATTTTGGAATAATTCCAGGGAATATTCTGGGAATATTCCCTTAATATTCATTCAACATTACCTTGGAATATTCCATTAATATTACGGTGGAACATTGCCTCAACATCATCCTGGAATATTACTTCGAAATTACCGTGGAACATTCCCTCAATGTTATTTTTGGAATATTTCTGTGGGGCGGACATTTTAATATTACTTTAAGATCCCTAGAATATTCCGAATATGAAATGTAATATTCCCTTCATTTTAAGGTTATATTCCGTGCTGCTTGGGTATAAGCAAAACCAAAATTTCGTCGGTTCATAGAGCCATGGAACGCCCCATATAGCATTTTAAGATGATTCACATTGTGAACAAGTTAAAACCTACGATATTGGCTGGTTTTAATAAAAAATTTAGGGGAAAATGGGTCAAAAGTACTAAAAGATGGGAAAATATTATTTTTGAAATATCTTTTTTATTTTTTGTGCAGGGGAGCGTGGGGTAATGTGAGCTTTTAAATTTCACGTACTTAAAAGCCTTAAAATTCGCTGCAATGTCTAGAAAATCTTCTACAACCTTTGTTTATATCATTCCAAAACAAACGATTACATTCTTGACAAATTTTTAGTAAAGACAAGGGAAAATGTATTTTTTTAGTTTTCGTTGTAAACATCACCATAAGTAGTTAAAATCGTATTATTTAGTTATGCTTTTTCATTATATTATAGGTGAATATGTGTAGATATGTATACTTGTATAAAAATCGAGATAATAATAAAATTTGTTAATATTTTTATTTTTTTATTCAAATTTTGGCCTGTAACAATTCTGTGGGGTAATGGGAGAATTAGTGTCAGGTCAAAGAATCTTCGTTACTATGTTAGGGCTTTCGTTATTTCTTTCAAAATTGTAAAAGATATGAATATTCCCTTAATATTCATTCAACATTACCTTGGAATATTCCAT